TTAAATACACGTATTAATCGTGATATAAATTTAGGTTTTTTTATTAATTAAGAGAGGAGAGAGACAAATCGCGAGGAGCCGCCACAAGCTCGCTCGTCCAACATCGCTTTTATCATCGTCGAAGCTCTCCCGGTGAGATCGCGTCATCTTTTCCCGTTTCATCTGTTTGCTCGCGGTGTCGTGATTGTTTTGATCATCGTCGTCAATTACGCGAGGATCTGAAAAGATGGTCGCGACGAGAGAGCGCGCCATTTTAATGCGAGGACGATCACGCGTTGAAACGTGCGATTCGCCTCGCGCTCGTCATCGGCAAGTATATGAAATTACCCGCCGTCATTGTTTCGTAATCCCTCTCTTGCATTATCTCCTTTATTTCTTCACCCTGTCCATAGGGACCTTGGTGTCGCAATTAGAAAGACGCATGCCATTCCTCCCCCATATTATCAAACCCATTTAACACCCCGCCGGCCTCACTCTTGAGGCGCTATATGCATGCTGCACGCGCGCGCAGAGAGTCTGCATCTGTCATCTAGCTGTCAGCTCCGTTCGTCCCGTTCGGCGAATAAGACATACGTGGACATCAGGATGACGATCATTGTCCGCGAAGGTCCACGAACGTCGGATTACCTATCGGGAGAGCCCGCTAATTCGGCATTTCGTCTACGAGAGCGAGACGGAGAGGATCATTTAGTTTATCTACGAGTCCTGTCGCGTTGGAAAATTTTCTCAGTCGAAAGAAAGTATTTTTTTATGACTGCAGTCCTTTAGTTTATGTCCAAATGTTTAAGACTTATCTTGAGAATGTTTGCGTGCATGGAGAATTTAAAACTCAAATAATTTATAACATCATAAAAAATGTAATACATGTAGTCTTGATTGATTGTTGGAGAAATGCAAGAAAATTTAACTATAATTTAAAATCAAAGTAAGAAATTATTGTTGTAAATATTATAGAATTGTTATCCATAGTATCGATTTTATCTATTTGCATTATTACGTAGGAATTCTAAATAGTTTCATGCTATCGTTAGATATAAAATAGATGTATTGTTCTATAAGGATGATCTGCTCTCATTTCGTGCATGCATCAATAACTGGGCGACATTAATTGACAATGAAATTGACGTAGATTAATTTTGCGCGCCTTTCCGATACAAGTTTGCTTTCATTATAGAATTTAAATGATAAAAAAGGCAAAGTAATGAGTTTAATTGCGTGACTCGTAGATAAAATAAATGTCACCTCTTGCCCAATAGAGCTTAAGGTACAACTAACAATTAAGATAGAGCTAAGTTAGCGATAAGTCAGCAATGGATGGCAGTCCCCAATTCCGCAGAACTCTTCTGACAGTCGGAATATTTTCTTATCGCCAACATTACTAAAATAATTAAATACAAATTAAAAAATTTAGTTAAGATAAAAAATAATAAGCTTACTATGGTTACTTTAATTAATTAAGATATTGAATTATAATATGGGTATGTCCCAAAACCTTCGATCTTAATTTTAACAATAGACTCTTTGACTAATTCGAAGCAGATTTTTCTTTTCTTGAAATGAGTCATGTAATATTAAAATAAAAAGATGAAAAATTTTTCTCGAAATAAATTTCCGGACTTTATATAATAAAAGTCCATTACACATTTAAATTCATTTAAATTCATGAAAAATTACAAATTCAAGTGAGCTTAACTGTCTTAATACCGCAATTAGAGATTTAATTACTCAATTATCCGATAAATATTATCCGATTAAATCATTGCATATAATAATGCGTACTTTGAAATTTATCTCCTATGAAAAATTGACTCCGAATTCGCCGAGGAGTCTGTCATTATAATTAAGGTCGTAGATTCCGGGACATCTAAGGTATAAGGACATAAAAACGAGTGGACGTACGTTCGGAAGAGGGACGGCGGAGTTGGACGGCCTTCGTGGTGAGCGAAGCATTATTAAACGTGGTGCCCCAATATTCTAGCTTTCTGAGGAGG